GGCAACGGCACGGAAACCCTACTAAAGCCATGGCTCCCTCTAGGGAGAGGCAAGTATGTCAAGATGCACAAAAGTTCTTGTGGATGGAATAGGTTATGGTAACGAGGCTTGCGTGCCTCTGGGGGCAGGGAGTGTGGCATCCAAATAAAGCAGAGTGGCCTCCGGGTGTTTCTGACCCATCCATGCAGGTATGGTTCTCACAGGGGGATCTGGACTCGGCCAGGCTGCTTGGTGACTGTAACACTCCTTGGGATATGCCTGAACCTGTAAAGACATGAAGTTGTTACTGCATTTGGAGCTCCCAAGAACGTGGTCCATCTACTGCTGCTCCCCAGGCACATTAGCAGGGAGCAGTACAGGAGGGGGGATGGCAGGGATGGCATGTTAGCAGCAGCTTACCCCACTGCATTGCAGCGCCGATCCCAAGATGCCTCACCCTTAACAGTCTCCCGCACTCTGAGAACACAGGGCCTCCTAGCTAAACAAGAATGATTTTCCTTGTGAGTAGAATATTGATGTGAGTGGTAAGATATTGATAAGATAGACAGTGCTATAGGGTAGAGCAGGGAGACTGGGCTGATCTTCCCCCAGCCTCAGTGCTTGGGCCACAGCGCCTGCTTGGGAGGACGTTCCTGGCTCCTGCCTTCAGCCTGGCCCCAGCCCTGACCACCGCAGTCATTTGCAGAATGAACCAGCAAATCAAAGATCTTTTTCCTCTCTTTCTCCCCAGCCCTATCATTTTCTATTATAGAACTCTGACTAGAGAGTTGAAGAGGCTTTCAACAGAAAAAGGGGATGGGAGACTGACAGCAACAACGCATCCTCCCGTAGAGACAGGGAGCTGCCAGCCACAGCCTTGGTTTGGGCGAAGTCAGGCACAGGGCCAATGTAAATGAGCATTGAGGTATTGGTTAGTACATGCAAATAAATATGTTCTAGCGACTGGATACATTTAATACATTTAGTAGCATTTCAATGTGGTAACAATCTATTTGAGCACCTCTAGAAAATGTCTTTCAAAATTAACTATGAAGCCGACATCTAAGGCTAAATAAGAAATTCATCAGTTCTACTTGCTTATACCTCTTGAACAGCTTTTGAAATATTTTGGTAATAAATTTTGCTTATGTGGAAGAGGAGAGAGAGAGAGAGAGAGTGAGTCTCCCAGGTTCTGGCTCATCCACCAAATGCTGCCCATAGCCATTGTTGGGCCAGGTCAGCACCAATGGACAACACCAATCCGGGTCTTTCAAGGGTGACAGGAAACTCCACTGCTTGAGCCATCCCCTGCTGCCTCCCCACGTGGAGTTAGAGCAGACCCTGGGCTTGAATTCAGACATTTCGATGCGGAATGCAGCAGACCAAGCCACCTGTTGTCATCTTGAAGACTTTTTACATTGATGGAGGGAGGCAAAAGCAAGGCTTTAGCTTCATCACAAATCATTTTACTCATGTGCTCATGACAAAAAATATTTCAGTATTATAAATATTGAATTTATAACATAGGAATACTGTGCAAAAAAATTGTGTCTCTTCTCATAGGTCTGGTGCGTTTGCAGTGACTCAAATCTTGTAGTCATAAAACGGCATTTTTTTCTCTGCTATCATCTGTTCCTTTTTGTTACACGAATGATGGTTAATGTCACTAACGTCATAACATGTCTAGTCATTCTCAGTTATGAAAAGTTTAGCCATATAAAAAGTTACTGTACACAGTCTCGCGGTTCTTTCTCCGGTTGCTTCAGTGGAACCAGAAGGGCGGTCTTCTCCCCCGCGTGTCCTCCTTCCCAGCGTGTTCTTTTCCAGCTGGACCTCCTGCTCCTTTCTGTTTAACTGCTGATATATTTTATGAACTTAGCGAGGTGCCGGGCCAACTGACCCTGACTGAGGAATGTAATAACAAGTAGATGCTCCGAGAGTCTGTGTCCCTTTTTGAAGAACAATTACACCCTTCTGCTGTTCCCAAATTAAGGATCTCCACACAGAATTTCTCCATTGCATGTACCCCTCCATTCCTCAATGTGTAAGCCTGTGGCAAGACAAATCTGTGAATTTTATTAATATTTGGTAATTGAATACAGAGAATGCTAATGCCTGGGCCTCGAAGGGTCAGTCATTACCCTCTCCTCCTGCTTATACTGTCATTTCCTTCCAAACGCTCTTCCTCAGGGTTTGAAAAATTAATATAAGAAATAATAATAAGGCCTGGCATTGTGGAGTAGGGCATAAAGCCACTGCGTGAAGACCGACAGCCCACAAAGGTCCCAGTTCAAGTCCCTGATGCTCCACTTCCAATCCAGCGCCCTGTTAATGTGCCTGGGAAAGCAGCAAGCCACAGCCCTAGTGCTTGGGCCTCTAAACCTACTTGGGAAGCCCAGAAGAAGCTCCTGGCTCCTGGCTTCAGCCTAAACTAGCCCTGGCCATTGCAGCCACTTGGGAAGCAAACAGGCCGATTAAAATTCTCCCTCTCTCCCTCTCTCTTCTTTTCCCCTCCTTTCCCCTATGTCTTCCAAATAAACTGCTTAAAAATTGGGGCTGGGAGAAGCCTGGCACAATGGCTCAGTGGCTAAATCCTTACCTTGCATGTGCCGGGATTCCATATGAGTGCAGGTTTGTATCCTGGCTGCTCCACTTCCCTTCCAGCTCCCTGCTTGTGGCCTGGGAGAGCAGTCCAGGATGGCCCAAAGCCTTGGGACCCTGCACTCGTGTGGGAGACCTGAAAGAAACTCCTGGCTCTGGCTTTGGATTGGCTCAGCTGTGGCCATTGTGGCCACTTGGGGAGTGAATCAGTGGATGGAAGATCTTTTTTCGGTCTCTGCTTCTATCTGTGGATCTGCCCTTCCAACAAAAATAAAATCTTAAAAAAACTTAAGTCAAATGGTGAGTGCTTTAGGTTTTGAAAACTATACAGCATCAAAACAGCCACAGTTGATACATGTAAGCAAAGCTGTGTTCCAATAAAACCTTATTCATAGGCACTGCAATTGAATTTTGCAAGTGAATCTTATGTCATTTCTGTATAACGTGACACAGTGCTTTTCTAATTTTTTTTTTAGTTACTCAAGTTGCTAACCCATCTTAGCCTGCAGTCATACAAAAATATATGGGAAGTAGATCTTGCCTGCTGTTAGCATTTGCTAACTTGTTGTACTCCAATCTCCTAGATTTTCCATCAGGGAAGCCAACTTCTACCTAACTCTGCATCCCTCATTGCAATGAAATGCCATGTCTCCTTCTGGCGCTCAAGCCTACAATTTGTGCACAATTCTTTTAAGCATCTGTCCCCCATAAAAGTCACTGAGAGGACATGGCTGGGTGTCCCTGCCCTCTCCTACTGTAAAGACAGAGCAGCCACTTCCCACTCCTTCTCTCACAATTATGTCCCAGGCCCCCCCTTACACACCAGGGTGGCAGCGGCCACCAAAAACACTTAGAAGTTCTCAACCCCTAAGTCAGGCCTCTCTGACTGGGCCCTGGAGAGTTTTGCAATTCCTGTACAGTCCAGCAAACTTTGGGATAACTCCCAGTACTTCACAAGATTATCTACTTTTAATCTCTAAGAGTAATAAAAATAATGAGATGCAGACTAAAGAACAATCAAGAAAAAACGACTCTGTATGATTCCATTTTTACTTGAAGACGTGCAGATATAAGTATTGTCTCTTTCCTGGTTGTCGCCATCCCATTTTGCCCTCCCATATTCATGTAACAAATGATACAGCTGAAACCTTCAGCCGCAACAAGCATACCCAAATGCAAACCAGCAGTTTAATAGTAGCGCTTCATATACTATGTGTGCATTAATTTCTAAATGACGGAAAGCTTTAGGGTGGAGGCATTTGGTCTAGCATCTCACTGATGTTGTGTTGTGTCTCTTCAGTTTAAGGGATCGTGTGTATTGCAAGAGTCACAGTGAGTACATGACAGCAAATACAACTGAGCCCACGTGTCCATGCGAGATGGGAGGTCGAAATTGGTTGGCTTAGTTTCATAGTCTAGATTTCTCCAGTTTCTTAGGTCTACTGTTCTTGTTGTAATGATGTTTAAAATATCATTTCAAAAGCACAGCAGTTACCACAATCGTTTTACAAACGAAGAAACCAGCTTGGAGGGAACGGGGGCACAGAATGAGTGAGTCCTGGTTTCTATCACATGTTATAGAACAACAGATTCTTCCAAAGTTCTCAACAAGGACATCTAGCTAGAGAAAGAAAAACAAGGAAAAAACTACCTAACATAGGCACACTCACAACAATTTTAATTTCATTGGAAAGCTGCAGTCCATCTTTAATCTGCCTAGTGGGTACTTCCTAACTGAATTCCAAGTGTATGATTCATGCACGCTCAGCTACAAGTTAAGTGTCTGCCTAAGAGATGCTTTCCAGTCAAAGCCTCACTCTGTCCTGACTCGCCTGCAGCCCTGTCATCTTTCCTGGGTCATGGTTTTGGGGGGACACACCTTTCTTTGTGTCTCTTTTAATGTAAGCTTCTTCCTTATCAGAGAGAAACCAAATCATCCACAGACAGGCACAAGCAAAATAAAGCTGATGTCTTTTTAAAATGTTTTATTATATTTGCTCTAGTTTCCTGAATAAAATCAGGGCTAGGGGTGCCCACACCTTTATCCTTTAAGTATAACGAAATTCACGTGGAATTGACTTATAAGGAAATTATACACACTTCAGAAACACGAACATCTACACTGAGCTCTAAGCCACTTATTTGTAGTCTTAAAACATTTGTTTGGGATGGTTACTTCTGCTGAAAATTTTATAACCCATGGCACTAATTCACACATTAAAATCGTTTAAGTAGTCAGTTTAACAGAAAGGTAGTTAACCTGAGTTTCTGAGTTAGATGTGAACAAAGGTGTTGAACGCTTCTGCTGTTTTTGTTGTTGCTGTTTAAAGCACTTCTGTAGAGAGATGATGACTTGAAACATGAATTAAGGAGACATCAGTTTTAAGACAAGATCAACAGACTGTCAGAAACGGGAGGTCCTAGTTCAACATGCACTTGACAGCCTCCGCAATGTGTCTAGCACTAATCCCGAACATGTCCAGCAGTTCGCTGGGTTTCCCACTCCGGGGCACGTGGGACACTGCCAGCTGGCGGACACGGATGTCCGGCTCCTGGGCCACGGCGGCGCAAACCGCCTCTCCGATGCCGCCCTCTGGGTAGTGGTCCTCCACGGTGAGCAGCCGACCCCCCGTGGCTCTCGCGTTGGAGATGATGGTGGCTGCATCCAGGGGTTTCACGGTGAACAGGTCAATGACCCGAATAGAAATACCTTCTTGAGAAAGACCTCCAGCGGCAGCTAAGGCTTCGTGCAGAGTGACCCCAGCTCCGATGACCGTGGCCTTGTCCTCAACACTGTGGCACAATACCTTGGCCTGTCCAACCGCAAAATTTTCTTGCGGAGTATAGAGAACTGCAGTTTCTGGTCTGCTGGTGCGGATGAAGCACATCCCTTTGATGTTGGCAGCGAGACGCACAGCGTGCTCGGTGGAGACCGCGTCGCTCGGGTAGAAAACGGTGCAGCCCGGAATGCTTCTGAACATGGCGAGATCCTCCAGGGCCATCTGGGAAGGGCCATCCTCACCTACGGACACGCCACAGTGGGAACCAACCAGGTTGATGTTGGTCTCAGAGATGGCTCCCATTCGGAGCTGATCGAAAGCTCGAGTTAAAAAGGCGGCGAAGGTGTTGGCAAAAGCTACGGTCCGACCACGTGCGGCGCACCCCAGGGCCACGCTCACCATGTTCTGCTCCGCGATAAAGCATTCTATGAAACGCTCCGGGTGCTCGCTCTTGAATATCTCGGAGAAGGTGGAGTTTTTCGTGTCACCGTCCAGGACGATCACCCTTTCGTGGGCGTGACCCAGTTTGGCTAGAGCCAAACCACATGCTTTTCGAGTGGACATCATGTCGCCGACTTTGTAAGCCGGCGGAGAGGTCATCTTTATATTCGTGATCTTGACCGGAGGGGAGTCTTCCACGGGGGCTTTCGGTAGGAGAATGCTGTGGGTCTGGATCTGACTCTGGATCAACTTGACAATGGCATCCGCTCTCTCTTTTGGCACTGGCTTCCCATGCCAGTTTTCTGCGTCTTCAATGTTTGGGATGCCTCGACCCTTGAAGGTCTTGGCGATGACGGCCGTGGGCTTGTTCTGTACCTGGGTTGCTTGCCAAAACGCCCGACACAAGGCCTCCACGTCGTGGCCGTCCACCAAGCAGGTGTTCCACCCAAAGGCCTCACAGCGCCTCTGGTACGCGTCGGTGCAGTGCCCCAAGGGTGTGGTGCCGCTTTGCCCCAAGCGGTTCACGTCGAAGACCGCCACGAGGTTGTCCAGATGGTAGTGGGAGGCGAAGGCCAGGGCCTCCCAGACCGAACCCTCGGAGGACTCCCCGTCCCCCAGGAGGCAGAACACGCGGTAGCTGGCCTTGTCGAAGTACTTGCCGGTGTAGGCCATTCCACACGCAGCGCCCAGCCCTTGCCCAAGGGAGCCCGTGGCCACGTCCACGAACGGCAGCCGAGGGGTGGGATGCCCTTCCAGGTCGCAGTGCACTTTCCTCAGGTTCAGCAGGTCCGCCTCCCTGACATCGCCTGCCTCCGCCCAGGCGGCGTAGAGGACTGGGGCGGCATGGCCCTTGGAGAGGACGAATCGGTCATTGTTGGGGTGCTCGGGCTCCGTCTGTTTGTACCGCATCGTGTGGAAGAAGAGCACGGCCATGATCTCCGCAGCGCTGCAGCACGACGTTGGGTGGCCCGAGCCGCAGGCACATGTGGCCCTGATGGCGTGGATCCGCAGGCGGTTGGCCACATCCCGCAGCCCTTGCACGGTCTCCGGGTTGGGCACTGCGTCGCAGGCAGTGGCCATCGCGGCACTGTCCCCCCCACCACAGGCGGTTGTTCCCCCAGAGGAGCTGTTGGAAGCACCTGTCGCGTGACCACTGCACCGCTTGAAGTCCCGAGCGCAGCAACCACGAGGCGATGGCCGCTTGCGCAGCTGCAGCCCTTGGACCTGCACTCAGGGTCTTGAAGCCTCGGTGCGCTCTCGCCTCTCTCTGCATCTCCACCTGCGATCTGCCACTCCTTGGCAATCTCCCTCTGCGCCCAAAGACGTGGATTTTAATAATTATTTTGCCAGGTCAACATTCTTGAAATGTCATAATCCCCTGCCTCATGTTATCAATTCAAAAAGCAAAATCTTTTTCACATTTTTGTTTCAATTTTGTTTACTATTCTTTTTATTAAAATCACATGAAGTGATGTATATTTGTGGAGTATGCGGTGACCTTTTGATACATGTTTACGTTGTATAATGTTCGATTATCCTAAGGATAGCCACACCCTGAAATTACTGTGTTACAGAAACTCTGGGCTTCTTACTCTCATCTGTCATTTAATTCTATTTTCAACATAACAATGGTAACCTGTTTATCTTATATAAGGTTATAGTTAAGAGCGGATAATGTAGAGATAAGCTAGTGGTTTTCAGTGTTGATTGCATTTTAGAATCATCTGGAACATTTTTCAAAAATTGCATTCCCAGACTGCACTGCAAACCAATTAAACCAGAATTTCTATGTGATGGCTACAGACATTAGTAATTTTAAAATCTTCCTAGATGATTTCAATCTTTTGCAGGGATGGTAAACATCTAACTTGGGGGGCAGTTGTTATTCTTTTATTTTCTTTTGAGTCATGTCTTAGAAAAATAGTTAAATATTGTTTTCTCTTCCAAACAGTTCTATCGTGTTCATTTTTAAGGCTGCATATCCCAATAAGTAGCAGTGATGTGCCAGTAATGAGACTGTCAGCCTTGCTGAAGGAGTGGCAGAGGTGTATCAGACCTCAGCGCTTCCCGGACGCGTTGCTCTCTGTGGTCTTTGCAAACTAATGTTTTCTCATCTTTTCAGGCCAATAAGGGAAAGAAAAGTGCAAGCAGACTACGGAAGGACTGGGAGCGAAGGACACAGAGATTAGAGGGGAAAGAATTCACAGCATCATCACAGCATAAGGGCCGACAAGGAAGCAATTCATACCAAAAAAGGCGGATCTCTGTGACTGGGCTGGAGGGCGCGCTGATGAACCCACACGACTTGTCAGAGCTGATCACATACAAACGGCCTCTGGAGTAGTGTTCACATGGAAACAAAAAAGATGGGCTAAGTAGGAACTATGTAACATTTCTTTCCAAGTTTCCAAACTGTCTTATTTATTTAAACTGTTGCATAACTATTCCTAAAATATTAGAGACCATTTTTAACAGTAAGAAAGGTCACTTTGTCAAGCAAAGAATGTAGTCTTGGAGATTTCAAGTGAATGTGAATTTTTCTTTATCATTCTGGGAGGCTGTGGATGTTTTCACACGCTACGTAAGTTTTTGCTAAGGATTTATGAAGAGTTCTGACACGGTTAGAGAAAAGTAAAAAGATATATGTGTATTATTAACGATTGCAGCCTTTAAACATTTCAGCCTTCCAAAATATATTTTAGACTATGCAATTGACAGCAATCATTTAAGTATAAGGAATGTATAATTAAAGAAAATTATTCATTGAGACTGTAAGTAGATTTAAATAAATAAAAAACGCAATGCTACCTTTTAGCTCTCCTATTGGTACGTAGAGACCGTAACTGACAAAAGGCCGATCCAAAAATTTTAAGCCAGCATGTCAAAAAATGTAACTGTCCATTTTTTCGTCTTGGAGATCAGTTTGGAAGCTATTGAGAAGTTGTCTGTGAATAGGAAAACTTCATATATTGATCTTGATTTCTTTACACAAAGTAGGGAGTAGCCTGCTGGAGGTGGGTGGGAGGTGAGTAAATATACCTGCGACAGTGGGCTTGTGGGAAACGAGAAGACAGCCCCCCTGGAGCGCTTAAAGAAGTGGGAACATCTGGCTGCGTTCATGACTTTGACCTTCAGGTGCCATTCTGGCCTCTGATGTAAAGTCTTTTTAACACAACACATTTCTTGCTTTTTCTTTGTTTAAATGTTTCATTATAATGTTTATGGTATACATTTTAGGTTATTTATGTTTCTAGCACATATGTCTTTATATGGTATACATTTAAAAAAAATATATATATATAGTGGGCTGTACTTGTAATAGAAATGAAATCTGGCAGGTCACTGATACACATAACTTTGAAGGAGAAAGATGAGCAGAAGAAGTTAGTGTAATTCCTACTGGCTGTGGTGGAGAAAACACATAATTATCGATTACTCAGGAAGCCTACTAGATTTGAGAAAAAATATTTTCACTCTGTAAGGGTCAGTGACATTTAGAGATTTGGGACACTAGCGTTTTACTTAAGCTGTTGAGTTTTGTTAAAAGGGAATCATACAACACACTCATGCTGAGCTGTTCTTTCCGCCAGGTGGGAATGAGTTCTACAAACAACTTCAGATAAACAGGAAGCAATGCAAGAATTCTGGTGTCTCCTTCTGACCCTCGCGACCGCCTCCGCCAGGGCTGATGCTCGGGCCACGTGGGAGTCTTGCTGCTTCAACAAGCCTAGGAGACAGTGAATTTGATGCCTTCCTGGCTATGTGGATCCACAACCAGCTTTGGGACAAACTGCTTCTAGACTTAGGAAAATGTTGGATGTCCCTATGCATTCCATAACCACACGGATGAGTTTCCCTCCCTAAGTGATGCCACGACGGATCCCTGAAACAAGCTCGTGGAACAAGCCGTGCGGGAAAAGTGAACATCCAAACGTGGAGAGGAAGAGAAGAGAAACTGGTGAGTCCCGTTCTCCGTGTCGCCTCCCGATCTATCTGTTATTATCACTCTTCTTGTTATGTCACCCCTTGGAAAACTATAATTAAAAAAAAAAATCAAACATAAACCACAGCCTATGGGGTGGGGGGAATTGTAACCTTTAGGCTTCTTATAAAGCATCAAGTATGTCCAGGAAACACTCCAACAATATATGAGTCACTGCTCTCCGGCCTAGTTGGCTGAATATATATAAGTGTGAAAAAAAATCCCTGCATTTATTCTCCTATAGAATATTAACATGTTTTTTGGGTATATTTATTTGAAGGGCAGAGACAGACACAGAGGGAGCGAGACCTGCTGGTTCATTCCCCAAACTATTACAATGGCTGGATGGCCAGGGCTGAGCCAAGCTGAAACCAGGCATCCAAAGTGCCATCTGTACCTCTCAAATGGGTGGCAAGGTCCAAGGACTTGGGCCACCCTCTGCTGGGCCTTTCCAGACGTGTTTACAGGATGCTAGGTGAAAACCAGGGACTTGGGACTGATGCTGTGGCATAGTGAGTAAAGCTGCCTGCTGCCTGTGGCTCCAACAACCCCTATGGGCGCTGATTCAAGTTCAAACTGCTGCGCCTCCACTCCAGCTCTCTGCTGGTGACCTGAGAATGCAGCAGAGCAGAACCCAAGCACGTGTGCCCCTGCACCCACTTGGAAGGCCTGGAGGAAGCTGCTGGCTCCTGGCTTTTGAGGCAGTCCAGCTCCAGCCATTTGAGGAGTGGGGAGTGGACCAATGGATGCTAGAATTCTTTTTCTCTCCTTCTGTCTCTGTAACTCTGCCTTTCAAATAAGTAAATAAATTTTGAGAGAGAGGGAGTAACTGGGCTGTAAATCGGTGCTCCAATCTGGGATACTGATGGCTTCACTCACCAAGTGTCAGCTCGCTAGCCCTGTATCAATATTTTATGGTGGAAATTTCTGACTCCCTACCTGTAGTCTGATTTTTCTTTTTCCATTTGTTTGTTGTTACGTTCACTGAGATTCTGAAAAGGAACCTCTTGGGAAAGAAAGGTTTATTTCAGCTTTTGGTTCAAGGTTATAGGATTATGTTTTGTCTGATAGACACTGGTCATGGTGGGTGCTGAGCCATGACCACACGGTGGGGCAGGAAGCAGAGAGAACCTAGGCTGAATTTCAACACAAATGATCATATTTCTCATGGGGCCTACCCTCCAAGGACACGGCCCCCAACATTCCAAAGACCTCCCGGTGGCTCCACCTCACAGACCAAACCTCCACCCAGGGTCCATCAAACATGAAGTTATCAATCTTAAACACAGGCATGAGTTCTGAGGGGACATAAGGGATAAGCTGACACTATGCTAGTACAAGTATCACCGGCTTTTGAAAAATAAAGATGATAAAAGTAATCATTTAAAAACAAATCTAAAGCACGAGATCTAGACTGTATACTCATTGTGAATAGTTGGACCCGTTCTCAGTAGACGGGCAGGGCATTGTCATTTATTCTGTAACCTCTTTTTGACAAAGTGCTACCGCTGCGTACACAAAGCCTTGGGGAAGTTCCTAAACCCGTCCCACCTCAGCTCTTCCTCCCCCAGAACAAAATCAGCCCTTCGCTGAGATATTAATTTTATTTTGGCTAAGTAAGATTTCATGATTTACAAGGAACAAACAATACCTTTGGTTGCTATGACCTGCTTCATAAATCACTGAATTTCGGCAAATGCACACACTTGACAAGGAACAGAGTCAGCGCTGTGCTGTTAGTATCTACATCAACTCGAAATGCTTTGTGATGGTTTTAAACTCACTGCTGTCTTCCAGCAGTGTCTGATCACCTGTAAATCTTCCTCATTGCATTTTTTTTCTTCCTCTCAAATACTGATTTCTCATCCCTGAAAGGTCCATTTCTTTTTTAATAACCTTCTCTAATTTTCTAGTCATTCTTCCAGCATCTTTTGAAAAACATTCTCAGAGTTTTTATTTGCTGAGC